CAAAAAGAAAAAAGCCAGAAGTGGTGCTGTGGCTCAAGTGGTAGAGAGCTAGCCTTGAGCTGAAGAGCTGAGGGACAGCGCCCAGGCCCAGAGTTCAGGTTCAGGCCCCACGACCGGACCCCCCCCCAAAAAAAAAGAATAGGAGCAGGGCCATTTTTTTCTCCTGTGTGTTTAGTAGCATATTACTTATTTTTATTTGTTTCTTTGTTTGCTTTTAAAAATAGAGTTTAGGGCTGGGAATGTGGCTTATTGGTAGAGTGCTTGCCTAGCATGCATGAAGTCCTGGGTTTGATTCTTCAGTACCACATAAACAGAAAAAGCTGGAAGTGTCATTGTGGCTCAAGTGGTAGAGCGCTAGCCTTGAGCAAAAAGAAGCTCAGGGACAGTGCCCAAGCCCTTAGTTCCAGCCCCAGGATTGGCAAAAACAAGCAAACAAAAAACAAAAAAACAACAAAAAGGGTTTCGCCATTCAGGCCATGTCCTGGAATTCAGTATGTAGCCAAGGATAGCCTTGGACTCATAATCTGCCATTAGACTCCCACATGCCAGGATTACAGGCATGTACTACCATACTCAGCTGGCATTTTACATTTCCTATTTCCTTTTCTGACATTTGTCTCACTAAAGCTGCTGGCCCTTTTGCAGGGAAAGCAAGTCCCCTTTGGGCACATATCCTAGCCAATGTAGCCTTTATTTTAATGCAAATCAAGGCATAGGAGGTAGTCTAGGATAGGGCTGCATGGTGGGAACCACAGGGTCCTGGAACAATCTCTCAGGTGGACTTCAGAGACACTGGATGCCCAGGTCCCTGACTTTTCTTCCAGATACCATCTTGTGGTGATCGCCCTCATCTACTTCCTACCCCTCGTGGTGATGTTCGTGGCCTACAGCGTCATTGGCCTCACCCTCTGGAGACGGGCCATTCCCAGACATCAGGCACATGGCGCCAACCTGCGCCACCTGACGGCCAAGAAGAAGGTGAGCACCAGATGAGACAGGCCAGCTGGGGCCAGAACAGGCTTGGCCTTAGGAAACTGTTCTTGCTGGCTCAAGACTTATCCACTAGGGGGCACCAAGGAGCTCAGAGTCCTGAGGCTGTCCATTCTGGGACTGTAGCTCAATTCCTTACCCACCCCATCTTCTCCCTGTCCCTACCCCTACCCCTATCCCTGGCAGGAGGGTTGACCTCTGGTCTTTGGGCAAATACAAGGTTAAAGGAATTCCCTGGAACGTTAGTAGAGTACTAACACCCCACCAAATTTCAGACACTTCAAGAATCTTAGTATACTAGAATCTTAAGATGTTAACCCTTTGAATCATTGGAATGTTGGATTTCAGAATTTACATACTGAAGGCTCCTTGCTAGAATTCAGAGAATCCTCGAGGGCTAGAGCTAAAACCTTAGAGATGTAGAGACTCAATTATAGTCCATCATCTTCCCATTTCTCGGCCATATGGCAATGTCTCCTCTTCCCCCAACATCAAAGCTCCCCCTGGGCTTCCAATTAAGCCTTCTATGCTCTAGATTTTCCTCCTTTTTCCAAGCAAACCTCACCTTGATCTTGGTTGTACCCTCTTCCTGCTAGGCAACCAGAGAACACAATGGGTTAATTGAGGCATGTAGCCAGGTCAAAGAAATGTGTTTTTATTGTTGTTGTTTTTTTTAACCAGTGGTAGGTGTGTGTGTGTGTGTGTGTGTGTGTGTGTGTGTGTGTGTGTGTGAGTGGAGTTTGAACTCAAGGCTTTTCGCCTGCTAGGCAGGCGATCTATCACTTGAGTCACACTTCAGCCCTTCTTGCTTTAGTTATTTTACAAATAGGGAAGGCCTTGTATTTTTTTGTAGTTTTAGACCGTGATCCTCCTGCTTTCACCTCCCTGGGATTACAAATGTGTACTACCATGCCCAGCCAACGGACATTTTACAGGGCAAGTCTGGGGGGCAGTTGGACACTATCTATCCAAATAGAGTTGTCTCCATTTGCTGTCCCATCCCTTGTGGGGAGCTGCATAATGCAGATGTGTGTCGGCACAGAGGCCACTGATTGGGGAAGTTTGGGGGTGATCGTGATATGAAGGATCCCCGTACTGCTCTGGGAATGCCTAGGGCCCTGGGGCAGAAGACTGACCTAAGCCTCTTTTGGACCAGTTTGTAAAGGCCATGGTGCTGGTGGTGGTGACCTTTGCTGTGTGCTGGCTGCCCTACCACCTCTACTTCATCCTGGGCAGCTTCCAGGAAGACATCTACTACCACAAGTTCATCCAGCAGGTCTACCTTGCACTCTTCTGGCTGGCCATGAGCTCTACCATGTACAACCCCATCATCTACTGCTGCCTCAACCGCAGGTGAGCCTCACCCTTGGGGCCTCCTCCAGAGGAGGAGGAGGAGGCTCCCCATCACAGCTGCAGCCTCCACTCCAAGTCTAGGGATGTCTCTTACCCCCCAGGTGAATACTGTCCTCTAGGTCAGCTACAGCATAACCCTTCCTCTGGCCTAATCCTAGCTTGGGTCACACGTTCTCCCCAAAGCCTCCTCCTAGGCAAACCAGAGTTCCAATTCTTTTTTTCTCTTCCCTTCCCTTCCCCCCCACCCCTTCTTTCTTTCTTTTCCTTCCTTCCTTCCTTGCTTCCTTCCTTTCTCTCTTTCTCTTTCTTTCTTTCTTCTTTCAGAACTAGGCTCTGTTCCTGAGTTTTGTGCTCAAGGCTAGCACTCTACCACATAAGCTACAGCTCTCCTGGCTTTTGAAGTTTATTGGAAAATCTCACAGACTTCCCTGCCCAGGCTGGTTTTGAAATGTGATCCTTACATCTCAGGTTCCTGAGTAGCTAGAATTACAGGCGTGAGCCGCCAGCACCGGGCTCCAATTGTTGGTGTCAGGAAGATCTGCAGGGAGAGGCAGGCCAGGGTCAGAAAGGACAAAAGAGCCAAGTGAAGGAGCAAGGGCCGACTTGGCTGCTGTGTGTTTTGTAGTAGTGAGACCTTGCATGACCAAGTACTCTGCCACTGAGCAATATTCCTAGTCTTCCATTTCACTATAAAAACCCAGACTGGCTTCAAACCCAAACCTGCTCCTCCTAACCAGTTTATCTAGTGCTGGGATTATGAGTATTACCATTCTTTTAACATTTATTTGTTTTTGCCTGTATGGGGGGGGGCTTGAATTCAGGGTTCTGTCCTTTAGCTTTTATGCTCAAGACTTGCTCCATCACTTGAGCCTTTTTGGCTTTTTGCTGGCTAAGAGATGAGTCTCACGGACTCTCCTGCCTAGACTGGTTTAGAACCTTTTTCCTCCTGAGTAGCTGGGAGTATAAGCCTGAGTCACTGGAACCTGGCTTTTCCAAAGAAAAAACTTTGCTTCGTCGAGTCCTGGGGATTAAACCCAGGACTCCCACACACTAAGCAATCACCCTACCACTTGAGCTACACCTCCAAGCCTCCGTTCTTATATTTCCAAAGTGTCCACCTGCACCGATGAGCAGAACCCTACTTGGCCTGTGAAGCACTGGAATGAAGGCTTGGGGGACCCAGATGGGAGGCAGCAGCTCCCAGCAAGATTAGTGTATTTCTTCTTCTCCTCCAGGGGTTCAAGGCAGCTGGGAAGTGATCTTGAGAGAGATGGCCAGGAATAAAGGGAGCAAAACCTCCCTGCTGGCTCAGCTATCATCAGGTGTTCCTACCTTGATGCTTTTGGAGAAGTAGAGTCCATGAGTGGGCACTTGCTTTGGGACTCTTGTAAACCAGGCAGGAACCCCAACCCCATCCCCACCAGCTCTGTCATCCAGCAGAGCAGGCTTTTCAGGCTGGTGATAAGTTAGAGGCAGACACGAAGTCTTACCCTCCTGCCTGTGCAGGTGCTGGGGCTGGAACTCAGGGCCTCTCTCTCTCTCCCTGGACTTTTTCACTTAAGCCTGTTGGTCTTCTACCACTGGAGCCACTGCCTCATTCCTGCTTTTTTTTTTTGCTGGTTAATTGGTGACGTCTCTTGGATTTGCCTGCCCGAGCTAGCTTTGCATCTTGATCCTCAAATCTCAGCCTTCTGAGTAGCTAGGATGACAGGCGCGAGCGATCATCCTAGGGCTGACAGTTGTCAGCAGCGGAGGCAAGGACTGCCAGGGAGCGATGGAGCAGGACTGGGAGTGTGGGTGTGGCATGTTGGGGGGGGGCGTTGCACGGAGGCCTCTAAGTTCACAGGCATTCAGTAGGCTTGCCATTGGGTCTCACGGAGCTTTAAGGTGATGGAGGGTCCCAAGCAAAGTGTCTCTTCTGGAACACAGAACCCTGCAGCCCAGGAAGCAAGGGCAGCTCGGTCCCTCTCCCCTTGCACAGGGTCCCTTTTTATCTCTACCCCTCTGTGTAGCCCCTAGCCATATTCTCTCTTCCAGCCCTTTCTTCTCACTCACCACATCTACTTCCTCTTGACTCCAGTGTATATGTGAATATTCGGTGCTGCCCTGAGAAAAGTTTCTTTTTTAAGCTTGTGTCCACGCTTGGTGGCTGCCATCTGTGAAATCTTCAGAGCAGTCCCTTGGGAGAGCACCCCCTATTCCAACATTGCCAGAGCCCCAATTGTCCTTTTCATCAACAGATTACTCTTTAAAAAGGTCACCAAGTCACATGGGAAAAAACCCATTCTTGTCATTACACTTGTTTGTAATCATGGTCGATGGTCAGCCTCTCAAATCCAAGATGAAACTGCAGAATACTTTTTCCTTACAGTCCTGGGACTTGAACCCAGGGCCTGGACACTGTCCCTGAGCTTCTTTTGATCAAGGATAGCACTCTTACTACTCTAGCCACACACAGTACCACTTCTGGGTTTTTCTGTTTATGTAGTACTAAGGAATCAAACCCAGGGCTTCATGCATGCTAGGCAACCAAGCACTCTACCACTAAGCCACATTCCCAGCCCTGCAGAATCCTTTCTGTTTCCTAAAACTAAATTCCCTCAAGAATGTACCTCAAAAGAGACCCTGAGCAATTGTAGGCTCTTGTGGGATGGGGGGATGGCAGTGACTTTCCTCTGGAAGTCTCCTAGGTCTGGAAGCGGCTACATGGCAGACAGCTCCCTAACATCTTTGCTCAGGTGACCCTGCATCCCCCCCTCCAGGTTTCGCTCTGGATTCCGGCTTGCTTTCTGGTGCTGCCCCTGGGTCACACCAACCCAAGAAGATAAGATGGAGCTGACCCACACGCCATCCCTCTCTATAAGAGTCAACAGATGTCACACGAAAGACACTTTGTTCATGACTGGGGACATAACCCCTTCCGAGGCGACCAATGGTCAAGCCGGGGGTCCTTGAGAGGTGGGACCTCCTGGAACCCAAGCCTTGTGCCTGCCTGCAGGACCAGACCACTAACTGAGAAGAGCAAATGTAGATGTTTGGACCACACCCCACCCTTCAATGTGCCAATAGAAAATCAAGAAGAGTTCAGAGCCCACCCACTCATCAAAGAGCATTTCAGAGACCCAATTAGAGCCCAAGAGACTGTGTAAGCCAACACCTAATTCAGGAGCTGCAAACTCAAATGCTTCCTGAGCTGTACAACATGATGAATAGATGTACAGAGACCTGTCAATGCTCCAATAAAGGGTTCCTATTCGTACCAGAGTGGGCATAGCCAGTCCTGGGACAAGTTAGTGGAAGGTAAAGGTATCCTCCTGCAGGGGACAGTCACCCAAGGGGACATGAATGCTTCCATGTAGTAAGGTGGCTCACTGTTGCCTGCTCTTCCAAGAAAAGCTGGGAATCCAAATCTGCATGTGAAAGCCTCAGACTTGATCAACGGGATTCACAAAAATATCTCTAACACCTTGGATAAGACCAACACAGCATATCTACTAAAGACACAAGGACCCTTCTTTTGTGGCAAAGTCCAGTGGTTATGAGTTGACTTGGGGCTTTCCAGATCTAGAGACTGGATATAGCCCTGACTGGGCGGTAGAGTTCAGGGTTAGAGGGAACCTCAGCTGAGTTGCCTTGGGCAACTTATTCTGACCCTCAGCCTCTTCCACTGCTCAGTACAAAACTACCCCCAGGGATGCTGAGGATTGATAAGAATGACAGCCACACACCAGCAGGCTAAGTCCTCCATAAATGGCAGCCCTGGTTATATTTACTGTGCCAGCCATTTTGCATGAACAGCACCTGTGAGTCAGCAACACAGCTACACAACCCTCACTTCTGCAGCAAGCAGTCAGTCAGAACACCAACTGTCCCCACTCAGAGCGCTCTCGGCTTGGCCTATCCATGCCAAGGCCTCATCTCCCCCCCTGCTGCTGACTCACCACCCACCACCTTGTGCCCTCTACAAGAAGCAAGGAACAGCACACATACACACCCAAAGTCTAGTGTTATTCTTGCTTTGCACAGTGATCACTGGGCCAAAGAAGCTGGCCCTGTCGGTGTGACAGCAACAGGGGTGTCATCCCACCAGGGTGGGCATGCAGACCCAGGAAGCTACTCATCACAGGGACATCACAGGTGCCTGGACGTCCTGTGGTGGAATCTTCCAGAGGAAAATCCAAAATAGCAGTCTTGGAGGCTAGGGTAAGGTAAAGAGTCAGACAAAGCTTATTTCCTGTGGACTGCTTGTTAGGACTGAGGAAGAGAGAATGGCTCTTCTACTTCCCTGGCCTGCCACCAGATGTCAAAGGTCACTGGCTGTCATAGCAAGGTCTGTGGGTAGTAGAGCCACACCATCCGGCCTCCCACTGAATGCAATGAAGCCACCTGTTCACTTTTCCCTTGTCCTAGCACAGGAGGAAGACAGAGGATTCATTTTTTTCCCTTCTTCCAGGCCCTAGGGTAAGGGTTCAGGATATTGGGACTAGAGGAGAAATGAGCAGGGCTGGAGCTGGGAGACCAGTTGAGAGGAGAGTCTATGTCTCTGTATTCTGTAGGGCCAGTATTGAACTCCTCATGCCAAACCAAAGCTGGGGGTTACAGACCGTAATTTTATTTAAATCTTCCCCCACACCCAGGAGGCCACAAAAAATCCCAACATCTGGTTTTTGCCACATGCCAAGATCTCCCCCGGCTTCTCCCCAGCAGCAAGCATCACTCGGGTGGTTTGAATCGGTACAAAGTTTACTAGTCATACAACATGGCTCACAAAAGCGATGGGAAATTCCAGTGATGGCATCATGTGTGGGCTGGTTCCTTTCTTACTCTGATGGAGACAACACATTTTCCCTCGTGACTTCCCACCTCCCCCAACCCCCCCCCCAGGAGACACACAGAATGCAAGACTATCACAATGTGGCTAGGACCAGGTCCACGGACACGCAACTTAGTGGCACTGACTCCTCCTGATGGCATGCCAGGCTGCACAGGGGGGCTAGGACGGACCAGCAGTAACGCCACATCCATACTTGCCCTTCAGGCCACGCCTTCCCTCTCCCCCCGCCCTCTCCCCACCCTGGGAGAGGGGGTCCGGCAGTGTCTGCTGGTGATAATACATTTGACTCGGAGGAGGTGACCCCAAGGACGGGCTCTGGAGGCCCTCAGGCCTGTGGGATGGTGTGAGTCTTCATCTGAACCAGCCATGGCTCGGCTGGCGGGGTGCCCGAGGGAGGGATGCCGCTACACCTCACACGTGGGGGGTGCACGGCTGGGTGGAGATCAAATCATGCAGAGTGGCAGGGCAGTGAGAGGGGTCCGGGCAAGAGATTATCAACAGCATACACTCTATGTGGGACCCTACGTGAGGCGCCATTGGTTGGGTTCTGTTCTCCTCCCACGTTGGCAAGGCAGGCTCTGGTGCCAGGGTCGCCCAGCACGGCTCGCTGGATGGAACAAGGGGGGGGTCATCGCTTGTATAGAGAAGAGCTGGAAGGGCAGCAGGCTGGGGTTCCTGGCTCTTAGCTGCTGGTTTCTCGGAGCCGCACGCCCACGGCCGTGATGAGGGCAGCCCCCTTGCCACTTCCGTCTTCGGATAGGAGGAAGGACACGTTACACTGCGGTGACAGTTCCTTCACGGTTTGATGCATGATTCTGGAGAAGCTGCAAGACAAGATAGAGGAGAAGGTAGGGAGAAGAGGGCAGGAGAGGAGTAGGCACTCCCCCCTGACAACACTCAACTCCCAACAATGAGGCAGAGGAAGATCCAAGAGCAGCTCAAGTCCACAGGATTTACAACCATGCTCTTATCACCATCTCCAGCAGGGGGCACACGTGAGAACTCCAAACAAAGCTATCTGTATAGCTTGGGAGAGCCAGGGGCTGAGTAACACTCAAAACACCCTTCCTCAGAGCCTGGGGCTCCTAGGGGATCTGATAAGCAAGAGGATGCTGGGGTCTAGGATTCCTCCCCCCCCCCGCCCCCCAGCCCAAGGCAGGCCCAAGCACTGGGTGGATTTGGGACACATGGGAACAAATAGTACCACCTTACCTTCAGCCCTGAGACTCCACCCCTGCCCCCCAGCCTAACACTGCCCACAGCCCCTTCAGCAAGAGAAAGTAGCCCTCTCTCCAAGGGACAATCTCTGGGACAATCACACTCTGCTGAAAAGGAAAAGTCAGGGCCAGAATTAGGGTCTCAGAGGTTATCCCCGCCTTTGATGGACACCTACTAGGAATCTACATTTCATATACAATTTCTAGCCAGGCCAGTTTGTGCAATCCCAGGAGGAAGACAAAGACCTGGCAGAGGTGAAGTTACTGAGAACAGCTTCTATGTGATTCCAGGACTGAGGGTAAGAGTATATGACTCCAGCCGGGAACCAGTGGCTCACATCTGTAATCCCAGCTACTCAGGAAGCTGAGATCTGAGGATCTCAGGTTAAAAACAGCCCTGGCAGGAAAGTCCATGAGACTCTTCTCTCCAATTAACCACCAAAAAAGCCAAAAGTACAGCTGTGGTTCAAGTGGCAGAGCAAAAAAGCTAAAGAACAGCACCCAGGTTCTGAGTTCAAACCCCAGCATGCATGAGCACGCGCGCGCATACACACACACACACACACACACACCACAAAGTTTATGACTCCAAAGCCTAGCTCTACCCCTCCCTTCCTGTGCCACCTCTAGTGATGATGGCAGCAATGAAGATGAGAGATGGAGATAAGGATGGCGCAAGAAAGATCCTTTATCCCAAGCATGGCATGAGGTAAGTAGGGAATGTCTGCACAGAGTTAGGTGAGGTTGCTTGTAAGGACTATGACATTATGGCCCAGTCTATCTGGGATGGAACCATTGGTCATTATTAGTAGTAATCACTGATAAATGTACCCCAAGTTTATAAATGGTCACTTGATCATAGGAGCCAAATGTGAGAGGTGAGCAGATGGGGGGTCACATGTCCCCCCCTCCTCCCGCAACTGGGGTATCAGATAGTTGGCCAAAAGGAGGCCAGGCACTCCCTGCCCTCCCCTGCCTTAGAGCCAAAGGACCAAACTGGTTCTTCTGGATTTCCAGAAGCTCCAAATCTGCAGATGAATACAAGGAGCCCTCCTCCCCTCTTCTTAGATTCCTCTCCAATGCAGCAAGCCCCAGCCTTCCAGCGTGACTGCAGCTGGCCTGCTGGATGGGTCAGCTCACATCCATTCTCCTCATTTTTCGCTCCCACCTGACAGGGGTCAGGAAACGCAGGATGAGTCACCTCATACTGTGAGCTAGACAAGAGTCGCAGTCAAACTCCAGAGCTGCCCACTATCCATGGATACACAGCTTCAGGCTGCTGGCCACCCCCATGTGGCTTTGCCCTGGTGGAAGCCACGCCCCAATGCCTGTGATCCGATCCAGCCCAGCAGGCTCTGCCCATCCAAGAAGCTGTACTCACTGGGGATGCAACTTGTAGAGTGTCCCATCCACCCCCACGGTCACGTTCAGATGGTCTAGCCCTCGGTTCTCTCGGATCTTGTCCACCACGGCAGCCATGCCTGCGCCGCACAGCTGGGCAGCCCGCTTGGACACCACGCCGCACACCGTCTTAACCAGGATGCTGTCATCGCATGTGCTGTTCAGACCCAGCTGCTGAAGGATGGCACGGACTTGGAGCAGCGCTAACCGGTCACTGTGATGGACAACCAGCAACAATCAGGGCTGCAGGCATGGCTCAGCATTATTGTATCAGCTTAGCAAGTGCAAGGCTCTGAGTTCAAACTCCAGTACCATTTGAAACAAATGTAAAGGGAAAAGCCATGAGGAAATGCTTATACAGGCTACAACTTGGATGAACCATGAAAACATTTCACTAAGTACAATATGCCAGACATAAAAGGGCAAACAATGTACATTTCTACTTATACGAGGCACCTAGAGAACTAGAGCACAGTCTGGTAGCAGAATTCCCTCCCCACTCA